CAAGCACGCTCAAGATGTTTTCTACGTGCGGCAGACTCTCAATCACCAGGCATCAACTCCGTTGTAAGTCAAAGACAAAGAATGCTTAGGTAGGTAGGTAGCTTTTTAGGAGTCGAACGGCGTCACTGAGACCCAGGAGCTAGCTGGCTGAATTGGGTTTAGTACCCGAGCTGATACCGACAGACAAAAAGACAGGAGCTTATCCCTCGACCGTCTTTCCTTACGTGGCAGAAACGATGCCCCCTGCATCACTCTTCAGCCACATTCAGGGAGCAGTTACCCAGTTTTCTCACCCTCTTCCACCTGTTCTTTCTGTAGCCCCTCCATTCGGGGGAACAATGTTGCGTTCCATTACTGTGGCTTTACACCTGCACTCCCCCGGTGTGATAGCCCACAATTGAGCATCGTGTTCAATTGCCCAAGCCTAAGCCTACCTTAGGAGTTCGCTTCGTTGGCCAGCAATCAACTCAACTAACTTACGTCTCCCTTTCACTCTGATCTCACGCATACTTCGACAAGCCCGCGCTGTGCTGGTCAGCTCGCACCCAAATCTCGCGATCCAGCTACCCGCAAGCCGAATAGCTGCTTTCTACAATCAGCTTCTGGGCGCCTTGAATTGTTCCACCCCTTAATGCTCGAAGCTGCGGCTTCACCTCCCCGCCAATATGCAGTCCTCCCCGGGAATGTTGACCAAGGTAGATTGCGATGCAATTGCTGTGCTTTTCTTGCTTGTGATTACTGACACTCTACCTTTCACAGTTCGAGTCTAAGTCCTCGCGAGCTAAAGGCATTGCCTTTCACCCTAAGAGGTTCGTTGTCCGACGTCGCTGAACCGCATCGCAAGCTTTAGAGCTGACAAGTTGTATCCAGACCATGGATCCTGGTGTCACTACACTCTTCTACCATTCAGCTCTGGGATTACCGAATGGGAACTCTAATTGACCGTTTCGAGGAGCACGATGGCCCTGTCCGTGGTGTCGACTTTCACAAGACACAGCCGCTTTTCGTCTCTGGCGGTGACGACTATAAGATCAAAGTCTGGTCTTACCAGACTCGACGATGCCTCTTTACCCTTAACGGTCATCTCGACTACGTCCGAACCGTCTTCTTCCATCACGAGCTTCCCTGGATTCTGTCAGCATCCGATGACCAAACCATCCGGATATGGAACTGGCAGAACCGCTCCTTGAGTAGGTCAAGATTGTTGTCTTGGTCTAATAGCCGATAATGCTGACTTATCCCTAGTTTGCACCATGACTGGCCACAACCACTATGCCATGTGCGCCCAATTTCACCCCAAGGAAGACCTCGTTGTCTCTGCGTCTCTCGATCAGTCCGTTCGTGTTTGGGACATCTCCGGTCTCCGAAAGAAGCACTCCGCCCCTACCTCGATGTCCTTCGAAGATCAAATGGCGCGTGCCAATCAGAACCAGACCGATATGTTTGGAAACACTGATGCTGTCGTCAAGTTCGTTCTCGAAGGTCACGACCGTGGCGTCAACTGGGTCGCTTTCCATCCCACCATGCCCCTCATTGTTAGCGCTGGCGATGATCGCTTAGTGAAGCTGTGGCGCATGAGCGAGACCAAGGCTTGGGAAGTCGATACGTGCCGAGGACACTTTCAGAATGCGTCCGGATGTCTGTTTCACCCTCATCAGGACTTGATCCTATCTGCTGGAGAGGATAAGACCATCCGTGTATGGGACCTGAACAAGCGAACCGCTGTTCAGTCTTTTAAGAGAGAAAATGATCGCTTCTGGGTCATTGCGGCGCATCCTGAGATTAACTTGTTTGCTGCTGGTCACGATAATGGTGTGATGGTATTCAAGTTGGAGCGAGAGCGTCCTGCCTCAGCCGTTCACCAGAACCTACTCTTCTACGTCACCAAGGAGAAGCACGTCAAGTCTTATGACTTCCAGAGGAACATCGAGAGCCCTACGCTCCTGTCGCTCAAGAAGCTTGGCAGTGCCTGGGTAGCACCCCGGACATTGTCCTTCAACCCTGCAGAACGATCTATTCTCGTTACATCACCTGCTGACGGCGGATCTTATGAGCTGGTTAACCTTCCCAAGGATGGCTCTGGCGCTATCGAGCCTGCTGAGTCTAAGCGTGGTCCTGGAAGCTCTGCCATTTTCGTTGCCCGTAACCGATTTGCCGTTCTCAATACCGCCAACCAGACCATTGATATCAAGGATCTTTCCAACAACACTACTCGATCCTTCAAACCCCCCACTGGAACTACCGATATCTACTTTGGAGGTACAGGCAACCTTTTAATCATCGCTCCTACTTCCGTCCACCTCTATGACATCCAGCAGAAGAAGAGCACTGCTGAGCTCGCTGTCAATGGCGTCAAGTATGTTGTTTGGTCCAACGATGGTCTCTACGCTGCTCTTCTGAGCAAGCACAACGTCACAATTGTGTCCAAGACCCTCGAGCTGGTCAGTACTCTTCATGAGACCATTCGTATCAAGAGTGCCACCTGGGATGATGCTGGCGTTCTGCTCTACTCCACCCTCAACCATGTAAAGTATACTCTGCTCAATGGTGATAACGGTATCGTCCGAACCCTTGACCAGACTGTGTACCTGGTCAAGGTCAAGGGCCGTAACGTCTACTGCCTCGATAGAGCCGCCAAGCCCCGCATTCTTCAGGTTGATCCCACGGAATACCGATTCAAGTTGGCCCTTGTCAAACGCAACTACGAGGAAATGCTTCACATCATCCGAAACTCCAGTCTTGTTGGCCAATCGATTATCTCATATCTTCAAAAGAAGGGTTACCCTGAAATTGCCCTCCAGTTCGTCCAGGACCCTACCACTCGATTTGACCTAGCTATCGAATGCGGCAACCTAGATGTTGCTGTTGAGATGGCTAAGGAACTCGACAAGCCCAAGTTCTGGACCCGTTTGAGTACAGAAGCATTGGCGCACGGTAACCATAAGGTTGTCGAGATGTGCTATCAAAAGCTCAAGCAATTCGATAAGCTCTCCTTCTTATATCTCGCTACCGGTAACCAATCTAGGCTTGCTCGTATGGCTAAGATTGCCGAACACCGCGGTGATTTTACCTCGCGCTTCCAGAACGCACTTTACCTTGGAGAGGTTGAGGACCGTATCCAAATGTTCAAGGAGATTGATCTTTGTAAGTTTCAAACCAAGTCGATTTCAATGATCGCTTAACTAACAAAACTTCAGACCCTCTTGCCTACATGACTGCTAAGTCTCATGGTCTGGAGGAAGAATGTCAGTCCATCCTGGAGGCCACCGGCTTGACTGAAGAGGACCTCACCTTGCCAACCCTTGGAGAGCCCTTGTCTGTACGTGAGCCTGTTGTGCCTACTTTCGAGTCTTCTTGGCCTACCAAGGCTACCTCGCAGTCCTTTTTCGAGAAGGCCCTGCTTGGCCAGGTTGAAGGCCTTTCCCTGGAGGATGAGCCTGCCACCGCCAATACAGGTTTCGATGATGCTATGGAAGATGACTCGGCCGCCAAGCGTAACGTTGCATTGATCGACGATGATGATGAAGATGCTGCTGGCTGGGATATGGGAGACGATGACATTCCTGAGGCTGATAGTGACTTTGTCAATGTTGAGAGCGTCGACGCTGGCGGTGCTGCCAGCAGCGAGGCAGATATGTGGGCACGAAACTCACCACTGGCCGTTGATCACGTCGCTGGCGGATCTTTCGAGACTGCTATGCAACTCCTCAACCGACAGGTCGGGGCTGTCGACTTTGCCCCTCTCAAGTCTCGATTTCTGGAAGTCTACTCAGCATCCAAGACTTTCCTTCCCGCTTCTGAGGGCCTGCCGCCTCTGATCAACTATGTCCGCAGAACTCTCGATGAGACAGATCCCCGTAAGGTACTGCCGATTATCCCCAGGGATCTCGAGCACCTTGCTTCCAACGACCTGCAAGCGGGCTATGACTCGATGAAGGCCAACAAGCTCGAGGCTGGTATCAGCATTTTCAAGGGTATCCTTCACTCCATCCTTGTCAATGCTGTATCAAGTGAGGACGAGGTTGCTGAGGCGAAGAAGCTTATTACCTCGGCCAGTGAATATGCTGTCGCCATGAGCATTGAGCTTTCCAGAAGACAATTGGGTGCCCCTGATGTCGTGGCTAAGGACGCTGAGAAGCTCCAGAGGAGCTTGGAACTGTCAGCGTACTTCACTATCCCTAAGATCGAGGTTCCTCACAGACAGCTCGCTCTGCTCAGTGCTATGCAGCTGGCTATTCGCAACAAGAACTACAACTCTGCTTTGAGCTTCGCTAACCGCATCATCGCCAATGGCGGTGCTACCAAGATTGTAGAAAACGTAAGTGAAATCGAAGTGCCGATGCTTGCTGCGGTTACTGACCAAAATGTTACAGGCCAAGAAGACCAAGGCTCAGTGCGAGCGCAATCCCAACGATGCTATTGAAATTGAGTTCGACCAGTTCGCCGAGTTCGACGTGTGCGCAGCCAGCCATACTCCTATCTACAGCGGTACTGCATATGAGGAGTGTGCCTTCGATGGCTCCAAGTATCACACCAAGTACAAGGGCACTGTCTGCAGAGTGTGTGAAGTATGTGAGATTGGCAAGCATGGAAGCGGTTTGAAGTTGTTCGCCTAGACTGGGTAGAGCATGGTTGAATAAGATTTAATAACGGGAGCGCATAGTCGGAATTGGGAGTTTCGAGTCAACGATGCACAAAAAGGAGCCAGGTAGACGAGGTGGAAAGTCTAGGGCTTTAAAAAGGTTGGACTTGGACGACTGGCTGATAGAAGAGGCAAGGGAGTCATGTCTTTGTAGTTTCAACTTAGCCTGATTATATGCGAGAAGCACAAGATCAAGAAATCACGTTTAAAGACCAGATGTTTGACGTTTGTTTTGAGACTCGCCTGGTAGGCGAACTCATCAATTGAATTAATAGTACAGCAACCATTGGTCCTCTCTACTAGTCTATGTTTGTCTTCGCGTTGCTTTCTCGCCGAGAATTCTGACCTAAGAACTCCATTACACGATCGTCTCAAGCTCGCGTGCGTAGCCCAGGGCGTTTTCTATCACCATTTGGCTCATCTCCTTGTTCTGGTCGCCATCCTCGCCTTCAGCAGTATCAGGGAAGTAGATGTTACCGTCACGGACGATCCAGCCTCGATGGTGAGCGAAAGAGATAACATCGCCCTCTGAGTCCAAGAAGAGAAGGGACTTTGTGGAGCTGATAGGAAGGCTGGGGTATGCGCGCTCGCTGCTGGAAGCAATCTCGGAGCGAATCTGATTCTTAAGGATCTAAAGCCGAGTAAGTATTGGCTACTTGGGGGGAAATTGTAATGAACATGCAAACTTACTTCTGAGAATACGCTGTACTCATCGCAGGGCACCTCGCTACTCTTCATGGCCTTCCATACCCGGTCATAGGATCCTTCCATCAGCCATCTCTCTAGACGAATAGGGTAGCCAAGGTATCGGTCGCTCTCGACGTCACCGCCACCACCCTCTCGGTTCTCCAAGCTCTCAAGCTCAGTGTGGAACTCAGCATATCGACCCTGCGTCAAAAGCAGAAGCAAGCTCAGACCAGTGACCTTGTTGCGCTCGGCCAAATTGGGGGGGAGAACAGCAGCGGGAAGTTCGTAAAAGGGCTGAAGTTGCTGGACGTAGCGGGTGAAAGCTTCGGGGTTGCGGGCGCGGATGGCAAATAGGGCACCCTGTTCGTAGGTCTCGCGGGCGAGAGGCAGAAGATGCGTCGGGGTTGAGGGAGCGGGTGTAAGGGCGTTGAGCTTGAGAAGGGCGAGTTTAGCCTTTGAGAGGAGGGCGTTGGCATCGGTATAGCTCATAGAGGGGGAGTGCTTGAGCTGGGAGATGATCTGGGCAAGATTGCGTTCGGCCATGGTGGGCAACGGAAGTGTCAACGATTTAATGTGCGGTAGCTGATGTTCGGCAAGTTGGATATATATGGTGGCCCTGTGAGAGCAGCGATCAAGGTCGTGGTGCTGTTTGTGGTTGGTAGTGTTGATGATGATATTAGGTTGGATCCAATTCGAAGCTTCACCAGGCTGCATCCAGTGACGCGAGGCCACGGCTCATGCCTGTGGTTGCTGCGAGGTCGCTTTGTGGCAGGGATCAACGGGTGAAGGATATTCCGTCCCGCCGGCATCACCCGTCATGGATCGCAACTAAAAGTATAGTAGGTAGGGTATGAATGAACAGGAAGCTGATGAACTTCAAAAAGTGTCAACATGATCGTTTATTTTTATTTTTATAGAAACCTTGGATTCTGTGCCTGCTTTGAAGGTCATGTCTGTTAATTACTTACAAATGTCGCCATTTTTGGCTTGATATTGACGTGACGGATCAGAGTTCAGTATAGCATGGCTATTTCCTCGTTGCTGATCATACCGTCTTCTCAGACGTGCTTTATCAACATGCGAACTCGGAAGCGTGGTTCGCCTGTGATGGTGTAGTAACGGTCGAAAACGCATACTACATTGATTCACAATATGTTATCGCTTGCATCACCAGAAGAGCCTCACGTGGCTCTCGGTGGAGTGGTATCCAATCCATGTGTGCTTGTGCTCGTGGAGATTTTGCATATCTCCGATGTATGACTACGACATTGACTTCCATTGATCGCCAAAGGCCATCAAGTCAAAACAAAAACCCCACTTTATCCCGTTCTTATAGCTCCAAGCTACCAAGATTAAGTATTCCATACAAAAAGATGATCTCGAAATAGCAACTGGGGCTGTGGCTGAGTAAACGTATCATATAAACATGCATATACAGTGATTGGATACAAGGAACGTCGTCAAATCGGCGTGTTTGGAAACATTCGAGAGAGTGCGTGGTCGGAAATGAAGAACCCGACCAAACACCGCTTACTCCGTAGAAGACAAGGACGAAGCTAAGGCAAGGCAAGGCATCCACGGAAATCAGCCGCTCGAAGCTATTGAATTGCCCCTCACCAAGTCTGCCTGTGGCTGTCCTCCACCTCAAATTCGAGAAGCAGGCGAGCATGCCAAGGTTGAAAATTGAAACCACTATGCCTAGACTAATCAGCTTCAACTGCAAGGTCCCGCGTTTGTGACAGACGCTGTATCTGCCTTGTGGCGTTTGTGCACTTGTTTGATACACTCAAGATGCGGTGTTCAGCCAAGGAAGGATAAGGTACCGTCTATGTGATACCGTCGAACTTGATAGGGCAGGGAGTTGCCGTTTCGTGGCACCCGTCTTAGTTTCCGGTGTAAGCTCCCTCGCATCCCATGGAGGGCAAGAGATGCAGTACAGTACAGTACCTGAGAGTATAACGCCCAGATTGTTGCAAGAGACATCTGACGTCGAAGATCTTGGACGTGTACAGTACAGTCCCTACCTACCTACCTATTATTTCTTCCGTCAACCCTCTTTCATATCCATATCCTACCATCCATCCTGCTCTTTTCCTCTCTGCAAGTTTCGTTTCTGCTCCAGTATAACCACCAAATCTCCAACCTGAATACCCCTCCACTCGCCAACTCTCGCGTTGATCTGTCTGGTCAATAGCGGTTATTTAATCTCCTGGCTTACAACTCGAAGCGAGAAGCTCCGTCAAGGAACGGGAACTGGAACAAGATCCCTGCTGCGATCCAGAAGCACATTGCATCACATCTCATCCATCAAGTTAGTTTCCGGCACTCGAAGCTTTTGGCCTAGAACAGTGCAGCACAGCTACGGACTGCCAATATTTCCAGCATCAAATTCATCGCCGCGCATCGCATCGCATCGCGTCGCATTGCATACAACACAACGTACTGTACCAGCCTCCAGCTCGCTTTTCCCCACGCACTTGTCGTTGTCTCGCATCCATTGTCCATCCATTTATTTGGGTGCCCCGCTCTTCGAACAGCTCCCACGCCCGCGCCCGCCATTTTCTCAAGTCGCAAGTCCCAACCCGCCCACAGCCCAAGCCAGGGTTGCATATGCTGGCTACGTACCTAGTGATAGTGGTGTCACAGATCTAGAAACACCAGACGGGCGAATACATAACAAAGGCATCAGGCCCTCTGCTCGCCGCGGTCTTTTCGACCTTGATACTTTCTATATTCTTTCCTTGTTCCTCGATTTCATATTCCACTCAACCGCAACTTGTTTCGTCATTCGTGCTTCCGACCGCGATGGCCAGCTATCAGCAATATGCACAGCTTGGCAAGAAAGCTAACAACTCAGCCGCTGCTGGCAACTCATCATGTAAGAAATCATCATGCTCCCGTCATCCTCTCCTTTCTCGTCCACTCCACGGCACTTCCCTCGTAAGAGCTGATATGCAGGGAGCGGCGCCGAAGCATTATGGCGATAATACCCCATTTGCCTGTTTGATGTGCTTGCTTGCTCGATGACTGATGATGGTCAACTTTGAATACTTGACTTTGGACCCTTGTTTTTAAACCCCGAGAACTCAAAAAATGCTGAAATGCGACTTGGGCACCGGCTGAGAGACCACTTTGAGATACCAGCCCGCTCGCTGTACGACATGTCACCTACGCAAGCCAACGTTCCGTTCCTGAGAGCTCCAGTGCTGATCACTCGAGACTGGATTGCTATTTACGGCTGCCGCCCAGTGCACTGCCTGGCACTCTGGCCGCCAAGCCACTATGGGTCTCAGACAAGCAGTGTGTCAGGGTGCAATTATGCCTGAACATTGGATAGCGAGACTCTGTCTCCCTCCGAAAAACATGCATGTCCTGTGTCAATGGATATTGCGATTCTCAACGCAATATTCAAGCACCGCCATCTGAATTACGCAAGATCAAACTTAGAATCTCTCCTTATCATCTCAAATTACACGGCAGTTGTATCCTTCGCTCATCCACAAGAACCGAAATCCATCATCAGCCTCAGTTGGCCCCACGAACGATTTGGCGCTGGACATTCCCTGTAACAGGACCCTTGCCCTTGATCACCAGCCCCTGAAGAGGATTGGGCGGGCCCTCTTTACAGCATCCCCGTTGCATTATCGTTACTTTTGGATCCCCTCCATCGTTGGGCTTCGCTTCAGGGTATCGCATTCTATTTGATTCTCGAACCCGGATTATTTGAACCAGCTCCCTACCGCAAATTAGCTCTGGAACCTTGAATTGGATACCACCAGTGATCAGCCGATCAAGCAAGCAAGCAAGCACTCAACCCAGCAAACTGACCAAACCAGTGCCTGACGCACGCGCAGTATAAACAGCCTGCTGTTTGCTGGCTCGAGGCAAAGAGGGGTTACGCCGCTGCTTCTGCAGTCATCGGTGACCGCGCCCCGTCAGCTCTTACATTCGTTCGCTGTGAACGAGAACAAGGGCCCCCTTCTTTATTCGTCTTATCCCCCCCGACCCTCTTGCTGACATCTTACGTCCTTTTCGCGATAGACGGCCAGCGAACCGAGATGGCTCCCCCACAGTTAGGCGCGACATTTGTCCCCGGCGGCTTCGATGATTATTATATGCCAGAAGTCGTTGCTCCCTCCCCCCAAAGGTATGTCTCTTGGCTCTTCCCCCTTAATCCCATTTCCGGCACGGTCTCCAGTTTCCATTTCCCAAATCCCCATGCTCCTTTCCCTTGCCTGATCCTGTATAAATAAAGCTTGCCAGCACCGGATGCGGTTGTAACGGTGAAAAGGTGGGGCATGCTGACGATTCTTTGTTGTTGTTGTATCTAGGGTAACCCCTCAGGTCCCTCAAAATATGCAAGAGGACCTCCAGCGCATGGAGCTCGAGGCTACTTCCGTTGAACCACGATCACAAACCGATTCAGGCCCAGGTCCTCGTCACTCTCGTGAACCGTCGCTCTCTACTTACACCAACCCTCGGGGAGCCGACCCGCCCAGGCCCCAGCCGGCAATACAGGTCTCGAGCGACGACATCCGAGCATACCAGTCCACCGATAAGATCTCTGAGAGTCTCAGCACCATGAGCTTCGACGCCCCCTCATTTTCGCCTTTTCCCAAGGTCAAGGGCGATAACATCCCCCCAACTGATGAGGAAAAGGAAGAGATTCTCTGGAACGCGCGCAAGCATGTTCTTCACTCACAGAATGTTTCAATGCAAATTACATGGGCGCGCGACGTCCTTACTTGGGCCGACATTTCCCAAGAGTCCATGATACGCGAGTATGGTGAAAAGGCCCGACCTGCAACGCCCCGCATCGAACACGAACTCCGAGTCGATGCAATCAACATTATTACCTACTTGTCGCAGCAAGAACACCCTGAAGCACTCTACATGCGCTCAAAATGGCTCGAGTTTGGCAAATTTGGTAACCGTGTTGACAAGCGCGAGGCTTATATCGGCTACAAGCGCGCCGCAGAACTCGGTCATGGACGATCCGAGTATCGCATGGGCATGTTGTATGAGCAGTCGAATGACATGTCCAAGGCGAAGGAGCATTACTATCGCGGCCTTTCCCTCAAGGACTCAGCCTCATTGTACCGAATGGGCATGATGAGCCTTTTAGGCCAACATGGCGAGACGAAAGATTACTCGACTGGCCTGGAGCGGATACAGGCCGCTGCCGACAGCTCCGACGAAGACGCCCCTCAGGGTGCTTATGTTTACGGTATGCTCATAGGACGCGACTTACCGGACATCACAATCCCTGAGGGCTTGTTGCCCAACAACCCATTGACGACAAAGATGTATATCGAGAAGTCGGCTTATCTTGGGTTTGCTAAGGCCCAACTCAAGATGGGACAAGCATACGAACTGTGCCAGTTCGGATGTGACTTCAACCCGTCGTTCTCCCTTCACTACTACGGTCTAGCAGCTAAGCAAGGTCTCCCCGAGGCAGCCCTCGGTGTGAGTCGATGGTTCCTCTTTGGCTACGAGGGTGTTTTCAAGAAGAACGAGTCGCTCGCGTACAAGTATGCTCAAGAGGCTGCTGCCGCTAAGCTACCGACAGGAGAATTTGCCCTGGGCTACTACAACGAAATAGGAATCCATGTGGAGAAGAGCTTGTCAGAAGCTAGAAAGTGGTACCAGCTGGCCGCCGATCACGGTAATCAAGACGCCCTTGGCCGACTCGATTCTCTGGACGAGAATAACACTCTGTCCAAATCTGACCACGAAACTACCACACTGACCCGCATCAAGTCGCAACACGGATCCCAGCGAGGCAAGCGTCCTGATCGCTTCAAGCAGCCACAGCAAATGCCTACTCTCAGTGAAGGAAGTGCCCCTGCTTCACCTTCACTAGACGGACCAGGTTACCCCAAGCCACAGGATCCGCAGTCCAATCCTTCTCTCGGAATACGGCCGACCATCGTCTCGGAGCACGTTAACTTCCCAGACCCCTCGCGGGCTTCTTTTGTACTCCCTGCGGCAACAGACAGACCTCCTGCCTTCAATGTTAGGTTGGACGCCAACCAAGGCCCAGTGCGACCCCAATCGGCAGCTCCCTACCCCGAAGATGACCGGCCACCACCCCTAACAGTTCGTTCCAAGTCCACGGCACCTTACCCAGAGGACGATACCCAAGGTCCTACCTCTCCTCGTTTCAACCAAGGCGGACGCATGGGACCTCCTTCAGGACCCCCTTCAGATCGCCCATCAAGTGCTTTTGGCATCAAGCCACAATCAGGTGGTCCTCGTCCTATGCCGCAATCCCAGTCGATGGGTAATCTTCACCCTGGAGGCCCAGGAGGTCCTGGCCGACCCGACCCCCGCAACAGAGCTGCATCCACTGGATGGGAAGGCCAACAAGGACCCGGAGGACCCGGAGGACGTCCTTCTCCCTATCCAGAAGACAACGGAGCACCGTACGGTGGATTACAAAAGACACCTACTGGTGGCCAATACTCGCCGGGCTTGCAAAACCCTCAGTCCCAAAACTATGAACGCTTCTCGCGCGTACCTGGAGCTAGTGGGCGCCCCGAGCGTGGGAGCTCTCTTCCCCAGAATCAGCAGCAACAGCAGCAACAATTACCACCTCAGGCGAACCGACCCCCACGAACGTCAAGTGCTCAGCCACCAATGGTGTCTGGGGGTGCTGGCCCGGGCGGCAGGCCGTCTCCGGGACCTTATGGCGGACCCCAAGGAGGACCCCAAGGGGGCCCATCTGGTCCTCCAAGAACTGGAAGTGCACCCCCATCACAGTTCCAGCGGCCCGATAACAGGCCGAGCCCTGCTCCCAGCGCTGCAACGATGCCACCAAAGGGAGCAGGCAAGCAGGGACCTGCAACATTTGAAGATATGGGTATTCCACAAGGAAAACAGGACAGTGACTGTGTAAGTCTGCTAGTAGATTTGTGTTTATTGACGGAGTGCTAACACTATTGACAGATCCTCATGTAAAGTTGAAAAGTGGACAAGAAGGACTAAACCAAGTGGGACTTGGATGAACCAGTTGTTTCAGAGACTACATTCGAACACATAAAGCCGATTGAAAGGGCATCTTTTTGGAGTCGAGCTCGCGGACGGAATGCATTTGCACTGGGCTCGGAAGTAAATATCCGTGAGGCAGGACAGGGCAGGCAGGGTTTGTTGCGTAAAAACGCTGAATATTTGGGTAGCGAGTATTGTAGATATGATCTCTCAATGTACTGAGCTCAAGATGCGAACCAGGATAGCGTTCGTAGATGGCGATGTTCAGAGGAGTATTGTTCTTTCATATCTTGTTGCAATCTGGAGCTGTTGGGTGTCTGTGTGACAATAGCTTTGTTCAGTCAGTTGGACTTTAAAGATGCTGTTGGAGTACAATTGTTCTATGCCCAAGCGGTGAACTTGTGGATGGCCTGACGAACAATCCTCTGAAAGACACAAGAGGAACAATAGTGAATACTGGTTAGATGAGTATATAACCTTGCGGATTGTCCAGTCACTACTCTCATCCCCATCTTCACTCAGTGTTCCGTCGACCCCTCGAGCATCGTTCATCGTTCTTCCAGCGCTAATATGGATCAAGGATTTCACCTGCAGTCATTAAGTGCTGTTGGGCAAGCGTATAATCCCTTTGCCGGGAACGTAGAGGCCCAATCTGACGGTATAAATCAATCAGAGTCTGAATTTGGGCAGAGTCTGTTTGAGGAGGCGATTAGCCTAGCCTCTTCAGATGGCTCACGAGCCCCAGCTCCAGCACCACCCCCTGATGGTGGATGGAGAGCGTGGTGTGTCGTTCTGTCGACACACTTGGTATATGTGAACACCTGGGGCTGGGTCAACTCTTTTGGCATTTTCCAGGCCTACTATGCTGAGCATCTTGGCCTTCCAGCAAGTAAGATCTCCTGGATCGGGTCCATCAGTGTTTTCCTCCTATTCTTCGTCGGTACCTTGACAGGACGTCTTGTTGACGCTGGATATTTCCGCTGGGTGTTTGCCTGTGGTATCGTCTTTCAGGTCATAGGTATCATGGTTACTTCGGTCTGTACTGACTATTGGCACTACTTTGGTGTTCAAGGTGTTCTCGTTGGTCTGGGGCATAGCTGTCTGTTCTGCCCGGTGCTGGCAGTACTATCGACATTCTTTGCTAGAAAGCGAGCTCTAGCCATGGGAGTCGCAGCATGTGGAAGTGCAATAGGAGGTGTTTTGTTTCCCCTCCTGGTTCGAGCTCTTCTTCAAAAGGTAGGTTTTGGCTGGACTCTGCGCATTGTGGGTTTCGTGCAGCTTTTCCTTCTACTTATCGCTCTGGTTCTTGTCAAGCCTCGACTTCGACCGCGCCGATCTGCTCCCCTGGTAGACTTTTCTGCCTTTAAGGATATTGAGTACGTGTTGTACGTCACTGCATCGTTTTTTACTTGCCTGGGGGTATACTTGGCTTACTATTTTATGGCAGCCTTCTCCCGCACAGCTATCGACCCGGCCTTCACCTTCAATCAGTCTCTGAATCTGTTGATGATTCTGAACGGCGTTGGAGTTTTTGGGCGACTGCTCGCAAATTGGACAGCTGATCACGTCGGTGCCATCAATGTCTTCGCACCGCACTCGTTCTTTGCTGGAGTGATACTATTTTGCTGGATGGGGGTTGCCGACAAGCCAGGTCTGTATGTATGGTCCGTCTTCTATGGTATTCTCGCCGCAGCGATCCAGAGTCTCTTCCCCACTGGTATCTCTTTGCTGACTGAGGATTTGAATAAGATTGGTGTTAGGATGGGAATGGCCTTCACGATTGCTAGCTTTGCTTCCCTTGCAGGACCACCTGCTGCAGGTGCGATTATTGATGCAGAGCTTGGCTTCAAGGGCGCGCAGGCGTTTGCTGGTACATCTATGTTATTGGGTGCATTGTTTCTCATTGCGGCCAAGAAGAAGAGGATGGCTAGACTTGGAATCGGTTGGTTTGACAAGTGCTGAGTGGTTCTTGGTTTGGAACGGTAAGTAAAGTGTGGAATATAGAAAGGGGTAAGTTGGCGTTTTGTATTTGTCCTTTTTGATCAACTAACAGGCTGTCTAACTGTCTCAATATAAACCGATTTGGAGTACCCATCATGTCCATAGAAGTGACTTGCCATATAACTGATTACCGAAACTCGAATGACGTCTCTTCCTCTTGCTATGACTAACTAACTACTTAGGTTTTGTCAACTCCACGACAATGCTTAGCATTTGTCTTAAATTAACTACAGTTAACCATTGTCTAATCACCAAGTTTGATGACGACCTTTCCAACCTGTTTGCCTTGCCAAACATATTCGATTGACTCATCTGCCTTGTCGAAAGACCAAGTTGAGTCGAGGATATCCTCAAAAGTCATCTGTGTCGCAGAGATGGCAGCCATAAGTTCATCCTGATCATCCTTAGATCCCGCGTTGATACCACGGACGTTCAGCCGTCGATCAATGATAGTGGAAACAAACTCCTTCAAATGTTCAGGTTTAGGGCCGCCCAGATAACCAACTTGGCTCACAATGCCTCCACGTCGAGTGCACTCCATGGACCGAACGAGAGAACTGCTGCCACCGTTCTCAACGACGATATCAACGCCGAAACCGTTTGTTAGACGGAGGACTTCCTTGTGCCATTCTGGGTGAGCCTTGTAGTTGACGGTTTGGATCTCTGGTTTTCCGAACTGCTCCTTGATTTGTTTCAACTTCTCATCACTTGAGGAAGTAAGGATGACCCGAAGACCAGAAGCGCGAGCCAGCTTGAGAGCAAAAGTAGAAACGCCTCCAGTGCCTGAGATTCGTTAATTATTAGATACCCTATCAATAAAATTCCGGGAAGGGACTTGCCTTGGATCAACACTGTTTGCCCGATTGTAGCGCCTTTAAGGGCAGACCAAGCGGTCGTTCCAGCACAAGGGATGATGGAAGCCTGAATCCAATCAAGATGCTCAGGTAATTTCGTCACCAACTTCTCATCAAAGGCAATGTAAGTGGCCAAGATTCCATCCTCATTGGCCGCGAGCCAAGATCTTCCCGTCGAGCGAGCATTCACAAATTCTGAGTCCGTGATCGGAGCAACACGATCGCCCACTTGGACGAGCGAGACTCTATTCCCGACTGAAACGATCTCACCGGCGGCATCATTTCCAGGAATACCATTGGGAGTAACAGGCCAGGGGTTACCGCCATTGGCTATGTTGGCATCGCGATAGTTGAGAGCAACTGCGTGCACTTTTATGAGAACGGCGGTTGGATGAAGAGGTAGAGGAAGGTCTTCTGTGACGAGTTTCACCTTGGGGGCGCCTTTTGTATAATCGTCTGTCCGACGCCACGCTTGGCGTTGAGTTGGCTGAGACATTTCTGGTGATGAAGAGAGTAGTTCTGAGCAAGATAGTGTATTAGGAATGAATGCCTATTGCTGTCGTAACCTGATCTCAGAGCCGGAGACTATTGTTCTTATATTGCGGTTGTCGTGATGAGACGTCTTGTTGCTGACAGATCCACGCGGGGTAGCCTCCCTCATTTATAATCAATCTTGGCATTGTATCATGAGTAGAAGAGTTTATTGATGCCTCGCTGTAGTTGAATTATGTTATAAAGTCTTTTCCTGTTTTGGTAACCAAGACGTGGAGGAGTGTTTGGTCTTGGGTGATGTCGGGTTCCTCAGCCGTAGGGTATCCACATCTCAAGGAAGATTGCAACTATCGCGAGGTTGGTTAAGTGTCCAAAAGGATATTTTATCTTGAAGCAAGTAAACTATTGATTAGGATTTACACTAAAATTGATATTATTAGAAGATTCTGCCTCAAAGAGACCGTAGTGATGACTTGGATATATGCCACATACTCGGAACTCGGTTGCCATTCCCGAATGTAAGGAATGTTTATTTGAAAGGGTCGATTCAATAGAAACAATAAATCTGAACAGCATGTCCAAGCTCGTTGAAAGCTTGAACTTGGAACGAGCAGCAAAAGTGACAAACTTGATCTACCTACGTAATTCGTCAATTCCTGCTGTTACTGTTGAACAGTATCTCAACCCCTGGGACAGCTGGCTTACACCATCGGCCAACCTTGCATTATCTCGGCACAGGAACCCGCAGACACCACACTTTATGAAGAATATACCAGTAAATCTCCCGTTCCCGTTCTTGCTATTCAGATGATATCTCCTTTAGAACTCCGTAAACTCACGGACCAAAAAAGGAAAATTTGAAGAATATTCCTATCGAAATGAGGGGAAGCCGCTGATAGATCGGCATTCTTTGGATTCATGGCGTCGAAGCTTCATTCTTGGGGTACAGGGGAATCTGAAGTAGGCTCATTTTGTCAGAGTAGCATCGGTAAGGCCAGCGTGTATAAGAAGTGTGACACCATGCTCTAGCTTCTCCGTTCAATTATTCTTCACATGCCCTCCTGCAATAGTTCTACAAACTTCTCTCCACTCTTTGCCCAACAAGATGTCTGAACTCAAGATAGCGAAGATAGACGTCTTCAAAGTCGACCTGCCTTACTCTGGGGGCGTTTACTATCTGTCAGGTGGCCGAGAGTATAGGAGTTTTGATGCAACCATTGTCCGAATTACTACCAATACCGGCATCGAAGGATGGGGCGAGAGCACCCCTTTCGGGTCAACTTACATCGCCTCTCATGCTCTTGGCGTAAGAGCAGGCATTGCCGAGATCTCTCCCTGGCTGGTCGGCCTGGACCCAAGGCGAGTTGATCGCATCAATGAGGCTATGGACTCTGCTCTGATCGGTCACGAGCACGCCAAAACTCCGATCGATATTGCCTGCTGGGACATCTTTGGCAAGTCAGTGGGAATGCCTGTTTGCGAATTGCTTGGTGGCCGCACTGATGTTGGCCTGCCAATCATCTCGTCAATCTATATGGACAAACCCGAGGATATGCGAAAGCGTGTTGCAGAGCATCGAGCACGGGGATACATCGGACACTCCGTCAAGATCGGCGGAGATCCTGGTGAAGATGCTCGGCGAATGACTGACTCTCTGGCTGATATGCAGCCCGGTGAGTTCTTCCTGGTAGATGCCAACGGTGGAATGACCGTTGAAAACGCCCTTCGCATGTTAAGGCTCCTCCCGCCTGGCTTGGACTTTGTTCTAGAAGCCCCCTGTGCCACATGGCGCGAGATCGTCTCTCTTCGTCGAAGAAGCAACGTGCCTATTCACTTAGATGAGCTTGCCACCACAGACGCCTCAATAATCCAGATGATAGCAAATGACGCGGCCGAAGGCTTCGGGATCAAGATTTCGAAGAACGGTGGTTTGACCAAAAGTCGACGACATAGGGACATTGCTCTTGCGGCAGGCTACACCATGAGTTGCCAGGAGACCACCGGGTCGGATATCGCTTTTGCGGCAATCGCTCATCTTGGGCAAACTATTCCGGAGAGGAATCTTAGGTGTATATTAGAGTGTAGAGACATGGTTACTGTGAAGACGGCGGATGGAAACTTTGAGGTTAGGAATGGGAGGGTTCATGCACCAAAGGAGCCGGGATTAGGGGTTACACCTCGTTTGGATGTCTTGGGTGATCCTGTTGCAAGTTACTCCTGACTTGAAAAGAGATGATAGAACGATGTGATTGTTTAGAAGAATATGCATTTTTCCAGTATCTCCTATCCCTTGCACATAACTACTTAGGTAGGTATACATGAACTTCTAAGGCCTCCCGGTTATGATCTATCTCTTACGGCCTAATCAACTTGAAGCGTATGCTGTGGTTGGCCGTCTGCATGAGGCCGTCTTTTGAGGGCCTCTCGGCTCACAAACGGCCACCAGCAGTTGGCCCCCTGCCTGCAATTTGCTGCAAGGCAGCCAGCCACAGAGCGAACCACTTTCAAGTCAAAGATATGTACTTGTATAGGTAGATAGATACCTAAAATGTAGCTTCACTTTTGATATCGTTCATCTTTTGTTTGCTGATGATCCAATCACCCTGCCTGGAGGCTCACTTTGACTTCAACTACAGAAACGCCTTCGATATCAATCGAGCTGGTTCACAAAGGGTTTGGAGTCTGTCTCAACTCCGTGAATATCAGGTAGGTACCAATGATTTACTCTATTCTGGTGTTGTTTGGTATGGATATCCAATTAGTGGGCCAAAATGGGAGGCTGTCTTGCTATCGCATGCACTGACAGTTGCTGGGCAGTGCCAGTATCATTAAGCAGCAGCAGCCTCACAAGGTGAATGAATCACTCACCTACGCACCCTTCGCATTGTCGAATTTCTTCTCCGAGATCCATTCTTCGCTCTTAATTTCTCTCTTCTATCTCTTTTTACCCTTACCCTCCTCACCTTCATCGTTCTTACTGTATCTGACCTTTTCATTGTAAGTATAACCTCAACTGCCACATACTGAGAACTGTAAGATAAGGTAGTAGCTTACTTTATATGCCTTAGAGTTGACACTGAATCACCTGGCCTACCTATTAGGTTGGTAGAAACGCGGTGCCTCAGGTGCTAGAAGCGATGCCCCCCCCCGTGACTTCCATTCCCTCTCGGAATGGCAAGAGCGACAGAGAAAAGTCTTTGTCGCTCAACGACGCTCTTTACAACCATCTCGTACTCCCTCCCCAACTCCCGCAAAGACAGGACTCCAATCTCGACGAGCTCGAGAAAGCCCTGCTTAACCGACTCCTGGTTTCTGTGAAGCACATGCGAGATCTTCCCGGCAACGACCAGAGTTACGTTTGGAGCTTGATCGAACGAGGCCTTCGTGTTACCCAAAGCATTCATGCCGGAGGTCATGTCGACCGAACTGCACTCATTCGAGAGCTCAACGATTTTGGAGAGTCTGACTTTCTGGTCGTCTATGTACGGAGTCAGAACTGTGCTCTCTACATCCGGCGTTCGCATGAGTAAGTTCTGTCTTCATAACTCACCTTAAAACCACAGTATGTCAACTAACTTGATTCAGTGCTGTCTTTGGTGCCTCTGTCGTATTCGAGGCCTTTGAGACTTCGGCGCGCAATGAGGACGTTCTAGCAACTGAAAATGCGCTTCAGTGGGATTTTCCTGGATGTGCAGTGGCAGTCCCCCTTGCCACATTTCGTGAGAATGGTTTCGTCTCCAACCTAGCCAATTTCCTCGACAACGCTTCGCGAGAATCACTCACAGACTTCTCCGCACAAGCACTCAAAGCGGGAACGTCTATGCCCGAGTTTCGCAACACATCAGAGCCTGCTCTTATTTCCTCTATGCTCATGGCTATTCTGCAACAAAACGGCCGCCGCCTCGCCCCAACTCTTCTGCAGAAGATGGTCCGGGACGATGTGCTGTGGAACAATGCAGAAAGACCATGGAAACGACTTCCTTATTGGCTCGTGCTGCGAGTTACCATCTCTCGCTACCTTGCTCAACGTTTGGGTGAAATTGCGCGAGTTGAGTACAAGTTTTTATTAGCTCACCTCTTCAGTGAATTTCTCACACATGTGCAGCAATCAGGAGAAATACGACTTGACCGTCTCGATTTCCTCAAGAAAAAGCTTTGCCGACGGCTAGTCAAGCTAGAAGTCGATAAGGATCGGTCTCAAGATCTGGCCCAGAGAATTGAGTATCTATTCACCCAACTCGGCCCCGGATTACAGAATTCAATTTCCAAGGCAAATGCTTTCATCGAAGTGTCGTGGAAGCACCAGAAGTTGACCATGACTAAAACTATCCCTCCGCTGCCGAAGCAAGCTTCTTTCGAGGATATGAAGCTGAACCTGAAGATGAGCGGGATTACCCTCAACAAAATCTGGAGAGGCTATTCAAGGCCTTTCAAGGTAAACACTGAGCGGCAAGGTACCACGAATGTTGCACAGGCTGCCAAGCAGCATCTTAGCTCGTTCGCCGTCGAGCACTTCAAGTTAATTGATAAAGAACTCGCCATCGCCAGCCTTTGCCATGAGCAAAGCCCCCTTCCACACACAAATGTCGTAGGCTCAGCTGCTTTGATAAGCGAGTATCTGCGACAAGCTTATAGGGCCTACGATGGCATCCCTGAACTCAAAAGTTCACTGATCTTGAACATCATGGATCTGTGGGTTACCATGGATAAGGCAGCCTGTGCGATGTACCCACTCCTCGGCGAATTTCACCCTGTCTTTCGACCCGAGATGCTGGATGTTCTGCTACTTTCTACCTTCGATGATATGAAGCGGCTGCAGAAGATCCAGGTTTATCTACAGGATCGCATTGCTGCTTGCCAAGGTTCAACAACCAGCATTTTTGACGATCCTGTCCGGGGATCATTTGGACATCGCTTCTATGATGACTCTGACATGTCTGGTGAGATGAACGACTTGCATGAGTCAATAGAGGCATGGGCGACCCATTTGCGAGACAGCAAAGAAAAGGAATGGAAGACAAAAAGCGAAGAGTACTCAAGGCTATCCAAAGTTATCGATGAGAGCACATGTGTCTACATGGTGGACGAGGACAATCCCCACTTGCCCCCTTATCATGACCGCGATTGTCGTCGCTGCTACTTGAAGCGACAGTTGAAGAGAATTAGTATCCAGGCCTATGAGCATCCACTCCCTTCTGATCCTCATGTCGCAAAAGCTGTAGTTTTTGAGCTGCTTTGCCCTCAGACTTTAGCAAAATATCGAGATGCTACATGGACCGTTATGTCGATAGCCCTGCCTGCAGAGGAAGGTGTTGACCCCAAGTGCTGGGCGCGAGACTACCAACAACTACAGAAGTATGCCAACGACTCATCAATGAGCTGCTCTCTGGCATCAGTCACTAAACCTTGTAAGTATTCAGACGACCGTTCACCCCTCATGGCCACCCTTCAGGATGATGTCTACTCAAGTCCGAGAAGAACCATACAGTTTGTACTAAACTTGAACCATGAACACAAGTTTAGATATAAACTCCTCTCTTCGGAATCACTTATACAAATACAAGATTAAATTATAAGCAAGGCCCGGCTAACTTTAGAACAGTTGTCTCTACCCACTATCATTCTTTGGCATTCCCTATCGAATGGGATAACGGCAGATACGGTGTTTGTCGACCAAACGGATTAAAGTTGGCATATTGTGATAAAAACTCAAAACAGTGGCCTAGCCGTAGGGGCCATCTGAGCTTCTTACATCATGTCAAGCTTGAGATACCCGACTCTTCCCCGTTCTCGCAGCAAGACGCTGCCTTCTTCAAAAGTATTTACGGACCATCCTCTTACGAAATCATGGCTACAGCTTCGAGATGCCCCCAGGGTATCAACGTTCATGAATATCTTGCTTTTCAGACGGTTGCATCTGGAAAGTCCAGGCGCTGGCTATCTATTCTTGCCGAGTTGGCATCGGCCAACCTGAACTTCTCCAATGAGGCCACGATGTTACTCGTCACTCATCTGGCTCTTCAGTGCGGGCCCCTAGATGATTCCAGGAGTGAGTTTCGCATCATCCATGAGGTTTTCCGTGACCGTTCATTCTGCGAAACCTTCATAGAGCAAATATCACATCGATTGGACAGCCTGGCAGCCAATTGGAGAGAAATCTACCTCATGGAAACCATCGTCACCTTCACCCTCCGTCTCCTTGACTTTTCTTGGGAAGCACGTATGCCCGATATTTCTGAGCAGACAATTTCCCTTTTGCTACGTGCCAGGAACACGTGTGTGCGTTGGTTCAAGCTCCTTCGTGCTGAATCCTACAAGGTTGTCGAAGCTGAGACAGCACGGCGATTCCAACAGTATGGTCTTTGGGCTGCTCTGTTATGCAAACGCACATATGTACCTCTGGCTTGCGGCCGTCTTCAATTCGATGACTTGTCTCTCGAGATATTCATCCAGAGCAGTATCACTGTGAATGACAGCCTTGTGGTTAAGTTGGAGGCGCTTCCCCAGCTCCTTCAGCATACAATCATTCGAGATATCCGACTTTCATATCGACTTGCCCCGATTGTGTCGAAGCGAATTGTTGACGGCTTGGAAGTCTTCCGACGATCCCTCTGTGAGATGTGGCCGGAGGAAGAAGGATGTCCTCGAGTGTTCTCGCAAGTAAAATTGTACCCAGAAGCGCCGGACTGGGTATTTTGCCGATCTAGAACAGGCGACAGCGTTGACTCGATCGAGCAGAACGTTTCATTCAACTGTGTTAGAGGGCTTCTCCTTGTCGATTGCCAACCAATGGGAAAACTTCCAGAAGATCCAAAATATTCTGTTGTTCTGAACGAACTTTTTGGCAACCAAGCTCTCCTGACATTCCCATCAAGTCGCCCGGGGATGCAGTACAGTAAGTGCACCTTATCGACTTTACGAACAACGTGCTGTATGCTAATTGAAAAACAGGCCTATGCGTGAAACCTTATAGATACCAAGTCCATGTGGGATATGGTAGTGGAACGCGGGAGTTGATTGTTAGAGCTTTCCGAGGAAACTATGCACTGCAATTGATCCCACGTGAGACCTTTCAGGGCGACTACCCCGATCTTCCTGGACCCCTTGTGCACAATTGCTTCCACTGGATGCACTTGAGAACGGGAGACATTTTTATAACCTCCAAGGACAGACCTTGGCCGAATGAGCCTCACAAGGGGTACATTTTGAGCCTCAAAGACTGCACATGTTCGAGGACGCGCCATTACCGAGGCCTTCTTACAAAGGATTATATTGTCAACCCGTCAAGTCCACTCTTTAATCGTATTAGTCGAATCCTAGACTCACTTGAAGATCGCAGCCAGATCACTGTGTATCAACCTGGAGGAGACCGGAACCTTACAGTGGAGCTTCCAAGACTCAACATCGTGTTCTACACTAACAGGAACCGTCTACTCCAGTCGCCTCAGCTACAATGCCAAATCGACAAGGACCAAGATGCTGGGACCTGGTACGGCCTCCGCAGTAAGCTGGTATGCACTAGCCTTACCAACCCGATGCACAGGTCTATTTTGGTGCCTCTCGGGCCCGTCTCTGCTAGGTCAGAAGGGTGTCATGTAACAGTGAGGGTCGAACCCTCGGATAAATTTGGAAGGTTCAATATCAACAGCACACTTGGACGGATCGACTGCGCACCTGAGCCTACACTGGTTTTCACCAAGGCTCTTCTTCACGCGTGCACATCTTTTCTTCTGCCCGATCCTCTGACCGGCCGCACTGGAGCCGAAGAAGCTATTGAATGGCTTCAAGCGGGCATATCTCAGCCATGGTCCCCCCTAACCCCACCCTCTATGTTGGTACTGCACAAGATAGCTGGTTTAACACCGAGAAGAGTGTACTATCCGCAAGATCTTAAGGTTATGCGAACAGATACCTGGATTGAGTCCCTTCCTATCATTCTTCAGAACTCGGCATATAGGCAGATTGTGGATCGTATCCTTCAGGAGTCTGCAACTTTAGCAATGTTTGCAGCCAAAGAACAGGGTATTGTGAAGATGGCAGAGCTCCCTGCTTCAGGAGATATGCATCTACATGCACGAGCGATGTTTCGACAAGGTGCTGTCACAAGGTGTCCAGGGATTACGTCCAGCTGCACACAACCAGCTAACCAGAAGTACATGTCTCGGGATCGCCCCTCAACAGTCAACATCATGCATCGCAATGTGCTTGAAGTCACAAACCTGATCCGGAAATGGCCCCAGAGCTTCAAGACGACACATTGTATTGCTCAAACTCTCTCACAAGGCAGCACTGTTGGTGGTTTTACATCGGCCTTCAGTGGGACATCCATCAATGAGAGGCTGAAGGTTAATATCCTTCAACATTGGGGGTCGTTGGTCCGGTTTTCCCGTGACTCAACAGATCGATACAAGTTGATGTACCTCCTCGGGCCAATGTCGTTCCATCTCGACGCAAATATGCCACTTCTTCGAACCCTTGTTGCGTCCGCGGTATTCAGTGATCTGAAGGATCTTGAATTACCCAAATGGGATGAGTTTGATCATTTCCAACCGAATCAGTCACCACAGCTTGACTATATTCTGCATCTGCTGAAGCCCTACAGAGTTGCGGCGCCGGAGAACGATGCGATGGGCTTGGGGCAGTATTCGAGTGGCAAACTATTACGCAAGTTGCAAATCGAGCAAGCGAAACATGAAGCCAAAGTTGAAGATGATTGCAAGTACTTGGCCAACCACCTCCTTAATCAATGGCCCTGTCTGGAACCGAACGTCAGTGGTCTATCTCGGTCTGTGCTGATTGACATCGGGCCTGCGCTGGAAGTCATTCGTCCCGAGTGGAAACGCCTGTTCATGAACAAAGATCTCACTGAGCATCTCAAAGAGGTCCAGACAATTCTTGATAGACGAAACCTAGAAGACCGATACGAACCACCTACGGTTCCCTTATCCGAGGAGACCTACACGGTAAGTATGCGAGATGTTACTGAAACCGTCGACCTTCGGCAACTGCTGGCCAGACCGTATCGTATTCTCAAGGCCACAACGAGTACGAATCAAATTCCTTCTTCAGTCTTGGTGGATCGGCCATTTTTGACTGAGAAGGACTTTTTTCCAGGGTTCGGCAATGCCACTTGGCAAAGAAACACAGGTTCCGTGGCCAACCCCCCTTGGCCTGGTCTCACAAGGCCTCATAATGCCCAAATGGATAAGAGTTTGTCGGAATCAACTGTGAGGTCAGAATCCAGTATGAAATTGAATCTCATAACCCAACGCTTGGGGGCATCTAGGTCAGCTGTTCGGCGCCGTTATGCAGCAGACTTCCAGGAGAGTCTCGCTGCCTTCCAGCACACTCCTTTGTCCAGTACTAAAGAGTCGATGAAATCTCGAGAATTTGAGATCCACCGCAGTCTCGAGAAGGTCGAGGGCTCCTTCGGGGCGATATGTACAGCCTTGGAATCAAGTGCAATACTCTCACAAAGAAGGATTTTTTGGCTCAAGGCAGGAAACCTGTGGCCGATTGTGACTAAGGCTACACTTCTTTCTTGTCTCGGATCGGCTTCTGATGTCACACAATTCGGAAGCGGAATGAAAAATGCCATTTTAGAAATGGGAGTTAATATTACGAAACACCAAAGACTGGTCCGACTTCATGACCTGGCGTCAAAAAGCGTCTCGGGAAGATACCACGAAGAGGAGTCCAATGAGGGACATTCGAATTGGAAGCCCGAAGAGCATCCAGATTGGCTCCTGTTAGAAATAGAATCGAACATGATGATCCGTCCTGTTCAAGTTGATGTAGCTTTAGCCACAATCTCCCCTGGGTCGGGATCCAATTCTGTGCTTCAGATGAACATGGGGCAAGGTAAGTTGTCCCTGGAAGAAAATAATATCGGCCGATTTGAGTATTAATCAGTTTCGCAGGGAAAACCTCCTGTATTATCCCTATGGCTGCGGCAGCACTCGCCAACAAGAAACAGCTTGTGCGAGTTATTGTACCAAAAGCTCTACTCCAACAAACAGCTCAGCTGTTGCAGGCCAGACTCGGCGGTATCCTTGGAAGGGGTATTCGGCATGTCCCCTTCTCACGTCGAACCCCGACTACCGAGAAAAACATGCGAGCCTATCATTCAATACACAGAGACATGCTCAAGTCTGGAGGTGTCATGATCTGCCAACCCGAACATCAGATGTCATTCATGCTTAGCGGCCGACAGCGACTCCTGGACGAGCAGCCAGCGCAGGCAGGACCGATGATCAAGGTCCAAGAATGGCTCACAAGAGTGTCAAGAGATATCCTAGACGAGTCGGACTATACTCTCGCAGTGAGAACCCAGCTTATCTACCCATCTGGAGCTCAGACTGCAGTTGATGGACATCCACATCGCTGGCTTGTGGTTGAAGCCGTGCTGAGACTTGTTGATAACCATCTGTATGGTTTATCAAGATCTTTCCCTCACTCCATCAGCGTGATTCGACGAGACGGGGGCGGATTCCCCTTTGTCTTCTTCCTCAGGCAAGACGTTGAGGATGAGCTGGTGCGGAGACTTACAGCAGACATTTGTCACGGTGCTGGTGGCATTCTGCCTCTCACTGAACAGGCAATGGCAACTAAAGACAGAGTCGCCGTCAAGAACTTTCTCATGCATGCTCGGCCTAACGCTGCGAATATAGAGCGGATCCGGAATCTCTCACCAGACAAGCCTAGCTTGAGACAAGCAGTTTATCTTCTTCGAGGACTCCTTGTCAATCGCATCTTGATGATGACCCTCAAGAAGCGCTGGAATGTAGAGTACGGCCTCCATCCGCATCGCGATCCTATAGCAGTGCCTTTTCACGCCAAAGGTGTTCCGAGCGATCAATCCGAGTGGGGTCATCCTGACGTCGCGATACTATTCACTTGTTTGGCGTTCTACTATGATGGTATAAATCTAGCTCAACTTCGACAATCACTCGAACATATCCTCAAGTCCGACGATCCATCAACCGAATACGATAACTGGACCCAGAGCTCTGAGAATTTCCCTTCTTCCCTCAAGGCCTGGAACTCAATCAACGTGGATGACGAGATGCAGCTTAGAGAGATTTGGAAGGTCGTGCGGTACAATGAGGTAGTCATCGATTATTTCTTGAACAACTTCGTGTTCCCACGACACGCCAAGCAGTTTGAGGTAAAACTTCAGGCCAATGGCTGGGACATTCCACTCTCACCCCTCGGAAGCACAACAGAGAACGACAAAGAGACAACAAGCAAACCGCTGAGTACAGGCTTCAGTGGTACCAATGACAACAGAACAATGCTTCCTTTGAACATTCAACAACAAGATCTGCCGAGTCTTCATCACACAAGCGCAGAAGTTTTGACCTATCTCCTTCACCCTCGAAATCGTCATTGCATTCTACCTCGGGATGTGAAAACTCAACACATGGGGAGGGCCACCGAGATGGATCTCCTATGGTGCCTTCAGTCGAAGTCCATCCGCATCCTGATCGATGCAGGAGCCCAGATATTGGAGATGGACAACTACACTCTGGTTCAGCAGTGGCTAAAGATTGACCATTTCGCTTTGGCAGGCTTGTACTTTGACGAAGAAAACAAACCTTGGATTTTGACCAAGGAAGGAAGAAAAACGCCCCTTCTCGCGTCGCCTTTTGCTGATGACCTTTCAAAATGCTTGGTATACCTTGATGAGGCCCACACCCGTGGCACGGATCTCAGGCTTCCTCCTAAAGCTAAGGGTGCCCTCACTCTTCGTCTGGGCCAGACCAAAGACCACACTGTTCAAGGTAAGTTTGGCATGCAGTTACCAGAACCTTCCGAGGCCGATTCGCTAACAACTCGTAGCTGCTATGCGTCTACGACAGCTGGGAACAACTCAGATTGTTTCTTTCTTTGTCCCTCCTGAGGTCCACCAGAGCATCTCAGACCTGCGAAAAAAGACTATTCATGAACCCATCAACTCAGCCGATGTCATCGAATGGCTTTTGGACAACACATGTGACCAAATCGAGCAGTTGCAGCCCTTGTACTATTCACAGGGCATGGATTACTGCCGTCGGATGCAGGCCGCTTTAGATCACCCGGACTTCTTGACCGACAAGCCTCAGCGAAAAGCGTATGTCCAGGCGATTAAGCAGGACGAACAGCAGAGCCTGCAGAATCTTTACGAGCCCAAATTAAAGAACCGCGCCGTCGGCATGCAGACATCTAACAACGCGGTTCTTAAAGGCTTTATTCATGACCTCAATTCAAGACGCAAAACCTTTCAAGATACTGGCCGAGCTGTTCATGCCTCTGCTCTACAGGAAGTCGAGCAGGAGAGAGAGGTTGCCTTCGAGGTTGAATCAGTGCGACAAGTCAAGAAGCCTCAACACTTTGCTGCTTTCTCTTTCCCAGGTCTCAACGCCAGCCTCGAGGCTTTTATCAAAACTGGGAGGCTTCCTGCAGATACGAATTACTTCACTCACGTATTCCATGCCCTGTCAAAGACAGGAACTGGTCGCAAGTACAAAGTCCAACCGAATGTAACCAAATCAAAATTACTCGAGACGGCCGAGTTTGGCAGAACTATCAAGCCCAAAGGAGACCTCTCTACCGATGACTTCTTGGTATGTGTTTTACTCGCTTATCCTCTAACAATTTTAGAACTAACAAAGCCTCAGCGTCCCGTCAATTGGATCATTTGGAGTTCCGTCGCCGAGATCGCTGTCATCATCATGCCGGAAGAAGCTGAAGCTTTGATTCCCATCATGCGGAACTCAGGTGTCCCCACGCATCTTCTAGTTTACTCTGCACCAATCACACGAAAAATGCTTCGATTCAACGATCTAACTTTCCATAGCATTCCTCCTCTACCTAATGACTGGAAAGCTCCAGAATGGCTTCGGGTTGAGCTGGGAATCTACGCCGGGCGCTTGTACTTTGAGTGGGACGAATACGATGCCCTGTGCTCCTTACTCGGAATCCAGAGTGGCGAGCTCGGTAATCATGCACAGGATGAAGAGCCTACTGAGACTGATACGGATGCTGAGACAGAGACATCTAAGCCACAAAATGACCTCGAACACAAGCTCGCCAAAAGTCCTCTGACGTTTCTACAAGAGTGGCTAGCAGTCCGTCGCCGTGGGCAGGACTTTGCTCACAGCCCCATGGGCTTTGTCAGTCAGGGCAAGCGTCTCCAAGAGGATCATGTCTTCTTCAAGGCAGCAGAAATAGACAATGGGATATCTGAAGAGACTGTGCTGGCACCAGTCCGATTGTCCCGTTTAGCTGAAAACGATGGGCAGGACGATGATGGCTACTACGGCGTCGACGACATGGGTGCCAACGAGGCTGGAGATAGTGACTCCAGCGACGACGATAAAATCGAGTACGACGAGTCCGAGTATGCCAGCGCATCATCAAGCGATTGAGCGTAATTTTGGAAGGAATTCATCGCTTTTGACAATGGCTTAAGTTATGAGGATATAGATGGCTTGGTATGAGGTCTTGGTCATGTCGATGACATTTGTGCGGTCTAGTGTAATAATACACGTGAGAGTTTTGTAATATGTGAGAGTTCATGACAGAAGGAGTGATAATCTTCTCAAAATATCCCTTAGATGATGAGAACTCAACATGAACATATGAAGATGTTATGGCTCTTAATGATACTTGACCCTTTGAGGAACTGATATTCCATCATAAAATTATTACAGCAGGCCCTCAAGCGATTCGGAACAGGAAAAGAATGCAAACAGACTTTCTAGTCGGGCAGTTCTCCCCTGCTTATTTCAAAAATCTATATCACCAGAGATTCTCACCGGTCAATGTTGTTTTATGGACACGCAGTTAGATTGAGAGAATCAATACATCTTTATCTCAATTACTTGGGCAAACAAGGGTTATCCGACCATATCTGACATGATGCCTTCCCATCCATCTAATTGCCTCTGAATTAAACCCATGTCCCAGCATCAACCATTACACCTCCCGTCCAAGAAAATTCGTTTCAAATTGTGACAATAATACAGAGCAAATCGCTCGACATGAATGCGCCTTTTTTCAATACAAATAGAGTTCGTTGCATCATAACATTCTTCAGTTGGCAGATTCCTAAACCAGACTGTCTTCCAGACGCTTGAGCTCATGAGGTGTCCACTGGTAAACACCTTGTCGAAGAGCAGAGAGGACAGTCTCTCGCTTGACAAGCTGAGATGGGACGTTGGTACGGCAAGAGGCAGCGATACAGCTGTTGTCAGTCCAGCCGACACGGAAGTCATCACCCCACCAAACACGGAGATCTTGAGAAACGCGCACGGTGATCAGAACCGATGAGAGGTCTGTATAGCCATCCAGATCAACACGGGTCAGCTCGTAGCCGCCCTCGGAAAATGTTGGACAAGCCGGTACTTGCTTGGTTTCCGACCAAGCGATGGACTCTTCGGTAGATGATGTCTCATTCCAGCGGTAGGCTGAGATCTCAAACTCGCACCACTTCTCGTCTCCATGGGCATCACATCCAAGGCTGGCTCCAAAGAGGTCGAATCGGAAGCAAGGGCTGGCGGCGTGGGGGCCTACACCAATCTGGGCGACGTCTCCTGAGATCGTGGATGTTGTGTTGGAGAGTGCCGGGGGAACAAACTCCACTAGCTGACCACCAGAGGTAGGGATATATGGTTGAGATTGCCTAGAAGAAGGCGGTGCGATAAGGAAACCTCCTGAAAACCAGATATTCTCGACGGGATTGAAGAGAGGCCCGGGTTTAGAGTTATCGAACTGAAAAATATTAGCAAAGGTCTATGTATGAGCAGATGGCTACTTACATCAATGGTGGTATTGCCAATGCTTCCTCCTGTTGCACAGATGGAAGGAGAACTGGCTTTGGAAGTCGTTTCTGTGGCCGTGGGAGAAGTCACACTGGATTCAGAGGCAGTGGTGTTAGACCATGACATGCCTTGACGGCGAAAGAAACGCTTTCGTGGAACAGTGACGGTTGCAAGAGTGGTGAGAGGGTAGTCAATTGTGTAAGAAGTGGTCTCATCCTTGATGACATTGGTCCAGGTAGTGGTCTGTAGAGTGGCAGTGCCTGCAGAAAGAGGCCAGAGAGTGTTCTCGCTTGCAACGGGTCCGTACGCAGTCTGGGAAAGCTGATTAGAAGAACCGTCGCCTGATGGGTTACTGGTGAAGGGAGGCTGCTCTTCTCCATCTGAAAACACAGGACCATTTGAAGTGTCAACAACAGAAGTAACAGTCCAAGTTAAAGTTCCAGTGGTTGTTCCGGAAGCAGAAGTGCCCTGCGCATCGGCGCTGGCATCGGTGAGTATAACCGAAATGGAGTTTTCGGGCATTCCGTCATTGTAGCCGTTGAGAGTTGGGATACTGGTAGAAAGAGGGCCCTGGTCTCCTGTAGTGAGGACAGGCTCAGAGTTAGATGGGGGCGTAATGCCAGCAGAGGTTGCTTGTGGAATATCAGCAGAAACACCAAGCGCAGAAGAGTCACTGAAGACAATGGTCTGCTCAGTCGGTGTTGGCTTTCCGTCAGGGCCAAGTACGACAGCAGTTGTGACCGTGGTGAATGCTTGTGGAGAACCAAGAGATGAATCAGCTTGATCACCAGTAAGGCTTGTTCCAGCAGGATTTGCAGTACCAGTGGGAACGACAAATGTCGAATCAACAACTGTTGGAAGGCCATCTGTTCCGATGATTGTGTAGGTAATGCAGGTGGTGAGGCCAGACACCTCATCATCATTTCCACCGGAGGGCAGAACCGGGGAGGATGTCACTGGACCAGGATTCCCAGTGGGTAGGCCAGAAGTAAGTGAGTCGGAGACAAAAGAAGGATTGCCAGGTGATTCGGATTGAGTGTTAGCTGATCCTGGGATAACCCAGGTTGAATCGACAATGGTTGGAAGACCATCGGGTCCAATGGTAGTGTAGCTGGTACAAGTGGTAATTCCTTCGCTTCCATCATCCGATCCAGAGGCATCCGAAGGTTCAGAGGAGGGTAGTTCAGGAGCTCCAGTGGTTTGCATGGATATGGCAGATGTGGCGCCGTTGGGTAGAGAACCCGAAGCCCACGAGGGTCCTTCGGTGCCAATGCTGATACTGGGGTCAGTGTTTGTCGGACCAGGGATAACCAAAGTGGTGCCCACGACTGTAGGAAGACCATCGGAACCAATGATAGTGTAACTTGTGGAAGTGGTGATAGGGGTGGCGCCGCCCAAGTTGGATGTTGTAGAAACGGATCCTGGAATATCATCAGGTCCGAAGGTTGACAGGCCGGAAATGGTCAAGAAGCCCCCTGAAGAGTCTGAGCCAGGTGCGCCAGATGGATGTCCAGAGTCAGAGCCAGATCCAGTTACAGGAACAGCCCAAGTGGAGTGGACCACCGTGGGAAGCCCGTCAGTGCCAATGATGGCGTAGCTTGTGCATGTTGATGAGCCAGAGCCTCCAGACCCATCCTGAGGTAAGCCAGGCGCAGAAATTGGACCAGTGGGGATGCCACCCACATCGATTGGTATGCCAGAGAGCGAGGCTTGGGGAATGCCAGTTACGGGAAGCTGTGAGGAGTCCTCAAAGGAAGGTGTGCTGGAAGGGATAACCCATGTGGAGTCAATCACTGTAGGAAGACCGTCAGTGCCAGTGATGGTGAATGTTGCACACGTAGTGATTCCTCCTTCAGGTCCGCTGCCAGGAAGAGATTCAGCCTGAGAGTTGGAAGGACCCTGTGAGCCAGGGACACCAGCAGATACAGCAGAGGGTAGTGGAAATACTGTAGGAATTCCGCCTGGGAGGCCGGGATTGTTGCCACTCTGGGTGAGACCTGGGGCAGCTGAAGGCTGTTCTTGGCCGGGGCCAACATTGCTTCCGCTGCTGACAATAGTGGGTAGTCCGTCTTGGCCAGTGATGGTGATGAAGGAGGGAACAGGTTGGCCGGCATCATTTCCACCGGGGACGTTGGTGAACCATGGAGAGTTCTCGCCTTGGCCTTGAGGACCAGCCTGAGTGGTCACTGGGAGACTGTCACTCGCTTCTTGAGGAGGCATAGCAGAAGGGAATTGGGGCTGGCTTCCTGGTACACCACCATTGCTTGGAGAGCCAGGTGCCGGGAAAGGAGTGGGGGCAGCAGTGTTGGCGCCAGAAGCTCCAGGGAAACCCGCAGAGGAATCATCACCAGAAGCGCCATCAGAATACCCAGGTGCACCATTGGAACCAGGGATTTGGGAGAAAGATGGAGAATCGGGGTTGTTTTGAGAGCTGTTCTCACCATCTGATCCAGAGCTGTCGCTAACGCCCGATTCAGACCCGGAGTTGGAGCCGGAGTTTGAGTTATCGGAACCATCACTAGGATCGTTGGTACCACCGACGCCGTTACCGTTGCCTGTGCCGTGACCATCTTCGGGGTCGCTGCTATCACCAGATCCTGTACCATCATCTGACCCTGTACCAGAGCTTGAAGGGCTACCATCGGGACCCCAAATGTCGAGTGTCAACGTGGTGAAAGGAGGGACAGAAGATGCCGGCATCAGAGAAGTGAAATCCGCAGGCTTGGTAGGGAAGGGTGATGGGAACTCTGAGTCATCAGAACCCGAATCGTCAGGCCAAGGGAAATCTTGTCCGTCTTGAGTATCGGTGGGGTAGACAGTGATAACAACAGTCTTTGTGGAGCGGAGAGAACAGGTAGGGAGGTCAGAGGTACCGGCGTTGGGAGAACCGGGTGATCCAGGGATGTTCTGAGGTGCATTGGTAGGAAAGCTGCCAGGAACGATAATTGAACCAGCACCAGGGATATTGGGAGAAGAATTACCAGGAAGGTTTCCCGGACCACCACCAGGGACACCACCAGGGACACCACCAGGGACACCACCAGGGACACCACTAGGTCCATTAGGAGGGAGACCGTTAGAGCCACCGTCGGTAGAGCCGGGGCCGACGCTGCTGGGCAAGGAGCCAGGAACGTTTCCGGCAGCGCTGCTTGGGTACGAAGGGTTACCAAACCCGTCGGTGTTGCCAGGAATGGTGTTGCCAGAGCCGCCAGGCGAGCTACCAACTGGGCTTCCGTTGGGGTTTCTTTCATCCAAGGTTAGCCGGGGACAAAGATGAGCGGTGCATTGTAACTTACCCGTAGTCAGTTGCCTGAGCGGCAGTATGACCCAAGAGACCGGTGGCCACAAGGACCCCGAGAGACGCGGCGATACGCATCTTGGGTGGTCAACTTCGACGTGAAGAAAGTCGAGCGGTTGAGAAGCGTGTACAAGGAGAAGAGAAGATGTGGGATGATTGCCGTTGGTGGGCAAGTGTAAAATGCTTTGCCAGAAAAGCTGAGAAGAGAGCTTGAAGATGAATGCAACAGAAACGAGAGGACTGAGAAGATGCCCCTTCTCGAGCTGAGGAGGATTGAGGATGAAGGGAAAAGAAGATGAGGTGGGATGAAGAAGAGAAGAAGAATTTTTGGGAACGAGATCGAGAGGAGAAGGATATATACGCTGGGTGCCAGGGCGGAGGGGGACGAGGGAAGGAGTTCCTTCCTCCTGGAGCGGCAGAATGTTGGGGATGACGCGTTGAGGAGTTGCGCGAGCCAGAGGGGGAGGAAGTCACGACAAAGAGGAGGAAGGAGCGCGGGCACTTCGTGAGGCAGTTGCCAGCCGGCAGTTGTCTCCCTACCTTATTGGACCAGACCAACCAAAGAGACAGGCGCATCAATCAATGTGAGAACGGAATCTAGACCTGCACTTGCATTCAGTAATTCAATTTAATATCAGATTAGTCTCTATTGACATTACAAGATGTCCATCTCTTCAAGTTCCAAGATTGTGATATGATGTTTCACCGGTAACTTCAACTTCCAGCACAGGGAACCCAGTTCAAGTCACCACATGGGCTGTTGAGCGAGTCGAAAATCGGTAGCCAATGCTCCTTCCTGTTCCCCAGCTGTTGGCAGCGTCCTGCACCTGGACGCCACGCATGATGGGACGATTTCTCGCGAGGCAAGCACTCGGGCAGCAGGCAGGCATGCAAGGCTTTGATGCCTCAGTCATTTAGGATCCCAACCAGCCTTCCATTTTGGAGATACTGCGGTGCTTCCAGTGAAGGGAATGTACTAGATGTGGTCAGAATCCCAAATGAGAGAGACTCATGCGCAGAATACGAGTACACTGACATCCAGCCGAATTGTCGAACCTCATGGCAGTTCTGTGAATTAGATAATCAAAATAAGACACTTGTATTATGGTAACTCGTTATCCTTGGCTCATATAACATCATCGGAATAATCAGTGTAAGGGGGAGGTGCATCGGGGTGAGGATCCTCATGGGCATCGTCTTGGTATGCCTGACCATTCGCAGCAGTATTCTCAGCAGGGCCCCTACTCTCCTCCTCGATGCGAGCCGTCCACTGAGCTGCACCAGCTGTAGTTGTCAGGAGAAAGAAGAGCGACAAGACAGGGATGAGTTCAAGAATCATGGCGACTGTGCCGAACCAAACATACTCCCACGCGCGATCCCTCAATGCCTTCTTCTGCTCAGCCTTTGAGAAACCCTTGATTTGGAACCAGCGATAATGAGCGAGCTTGCCGAGCCGAGTTCCAGTGATGATGATAAACGCAGGCGTGCCAACAACTGGAACGAGGTTGAGCGGCAGGAAGACAATGAGCTCAACAATCTGGATGATGCTCCATGGAGTGTAGATGGCAGCAGTAGTCGGCTTTCCGAGCATTCTGACCGGGTTGGGTGCGTCCAAGAAGAGGATCCGCTGTGGTGCAACAAGATCTTTATGTCCAAGCTTGATGAGAGCCGCCTACAATTGTCAGTCACTGAACTACAAACAGCAACCGTTTCTCGGTCCAATTACTTACATCAAATACATCCACTCGACATTCATCAACGAAGAAGCCCTCGAACAGACCCTGGATGATGACCAATCCTTCGCCTAGCACCAATACCACGGCATTGACCCACGCGCCCCAGCCATGGAAGATCGCTAAGAAAGCATACTGAGGCAAGAACGCAAACGTGAAGAGTAAAAGGTACACCAAGAATGAGATTAGAGATATTGGAAGGATCCTTCCAACCAGGAGTGGCCAGAACTCGCGGTTTTGAATGAAGAACCAGATGCCACGTAAAGGATACGACGCGGCAACGCCGGCCCTCTTGAGGTACAGCCACGGCCGATGGATTGGGCCTGTCCAAGGTCCTACATGAGGATGGGTTGAGTTCTGATACGAGCCGTTGGAGGGCATTTTGACGATCGATATGCAGTGATGGAGATTCTTCAGGGCATCACCAAGAAGGGCATACAGTTTACATGTGGTGTTGCAGGCAACAATAACAGCGGCTGTGACGTCAAAGAACGGAAAATCTGGCTGAAGAGTGGGGCCTTGCGGTCCTCACTCAACCTCGACTGGATCAACGGCGTTTCAGAACCTTCTGAAACCCCAGCAATAAGAGAACTGGGCAGCACAACTTTACGGAAAGTAGCAAAAAAAAGAAAGCCTCGCAAACGCTCGCAATTGAATTATAGGAACAGCCCGATGCGGGGGTCGAACCCGCAACCTTGAGATCGCGTACTCGTAAGAGTCTCACGCTCTACCGATTGAGCTAACCGGGCGTGGCTCTTATTGGTTGGGAGCCGTGGCCTCAGTCGCGTACTGTTGCTGTCGGAGTTGGGGAGATTCAGTCGTCGCTCGGGGAGTTTCTGAGGGAGACGTGAGAAAGCAGAGATGATGTTGATGCTTTCTAACCCTTTTCACGATAGCTTTGAGACTCGAGCGGGGTAATAGATGTACCGTCTTTGAGGCTGATAACTGTGACAGATTGGGCTGATGCCCACTATTTGAGAAAGCTCATCTCTCTGACGATGTGTTAAACGACGTTTCTATCATTTTCATCCCCTAACTTACGTGATTCTAATAACCAATGTGAGACACACCGGCCCTGAGTGATGTTTGATGCTAATACATCGATAGCATCATGAATAGCAAGATCGAATGCCAGTGCGGCGCAGTCCAAATCACAGCTTCGCGACCCCAACCCCTCAGCGTCTACTGCTGTCATTGTACTGAATGTCAGAAACAATCGGCTTCTGCCTTCGGTACATCAGCCATCTTCCCAGCTGACGGTATGTGGCCTCTCTCCGAAGATGTCCTATCCAAGCTCGGAGTCTGGAAACGACCTACAGACGAGGGAAATACCCTGGAGTGCTACTTTTGCAAGACGTGCGGCGTGAGGGTCCTACACCGCAGCGTCTTGCCAGACGGCCAAGGGAAGCCATATATTTCGGTGAAAGGGGGTTGCGTTGAGGGTTTGAGTTGGGAGAATGCGAAGCATATTTACACTCGAAGCGCTCGTGTTCCTGTGCCTGAAGGGAGTTATCAGACTGTACCTGAAGGACAGGATTGAACTTTGAGCATGGGAAGCCATCAAGCTTCAACACAGGCGTGAGAAGTATGGTTCTGGGCCTTGAACATGTTGGACCAGAAGAATGTTTGACCAAGTTGTAGAAATGATTATAATTATGATAATCTCGCGTATCTACTAATATTACGATAGTACACGCCGGTAGGTGGGGTCATCGGGAATCCGGCCCCTGTCGGAGGTGCCAAAACACCATAAAGCCGATCCCGTGAACCATCTCCGACCGAATTTGAGCATCACCGTGCCGGGGTCCACATTACCTCGACTTGACCCTCAACATGACCATGTACTCTATGAGGCAAGCCATTATCAGAGTTTGATATCGACCTAAGCCTCAGTGATAGTGTCGATAGCCCTGAGTATAGACAGGGGAATGACAAATGCCATTTAGAAGCAATAGATAAAACGGATATATAAGTCCTCGCCGCCCTTCTCCTCAGCCCTGAGCTCAGCATTATTATCGTTATCCAACAGCGTAAATACCAGGCTCATCATAGAAAATGGCTGTCCGAACACAGCTTTTCCCTCCGTCCCCTACTTTCACAGAATCTTCCCTACCGTCCTTGAGCTCCAGGGTGTACATCGTCACCGGCGCAACATCTGGTGTTGGTCTGGAACTGGCTAAGATTCTCTATTCCCGCTCAGCGATAGTTTACATAGCTGCACGCAATTATTCCAAGATCACGTCGGCCATAAAAGAGGTGCAGTCAGCGTTTCCTGATTCCACAGGACGTCTTGAGTCGCTATGTGTTGACCTCTCCGATCTCGCAAGTATCAAGCCCGCAGCTCAGCGATTTCTCGCTAAAGAGCCAAGACTTGATGGCCTAGTACTCAACGCTGGTGTCATGATGCCCCCCGAGGGTAGCAAGACCGAGCTCGGGCATGAGTTGCAAATGGGAACGAATTGTTTGGGCGGATATCTACTGTCGCGACTTCTCGAGGAGCTTCTGGTGAGGACCACGGTTGTCGCAGACGAGGGAACTGTTCGAGTTGTATGGCTTGCAAGTACTCTTCAGATGGGCACGCCCAAGGGAGGCCTTGTCTGGGACGAGGTCAAGAAGGAACCAAAAGTGGTAAAAGACCAGATGGAGAACTACATGATGAGCAAGGCAGGCAATCTTCTCTTGGCCCACGAGACTTCTCGGAGATTGGGATCGCAAGGAATTATATCAGTGGTGGGTTTGCCCGCATGGGAGTGACAGTACGATGCTAACGAGGTAGGCTGTCAACCCAGGGTTCTTGAAGACGGAGCTTCAGCGTCATATGCCTGGACCTGTGTCTTTCATGATGGTAAGTAGATATACTACGCCTTGAGCAAATATGCTGACGATATGCAGGGCCTCATGTTTAAAGCGCCCAAGTATGGAGCTTATAGTGAGCTGTTCGGACTGCTGTCACCAGATATCACCGCCGATAATAACGGAGCCTTGATCTACCCTTGGGGTCGTATCGGATGCATCCCAGATGACATCAAGATGTCTTTAAAGAATGGACAAGAGGGGGGCACTGGCCTCTCAACAGCTTTCGCCGACTGGTGTGAGAGAGAAACTCGTCAGTACAAGTAGTTGGTAGTCAAGTAAGAAGTATTGGTTTGGTAGAGTGATTTCCATTTAGATCTAAATAGTCTCACACGGGTATCATGTCATAACTTATCCCAAACGCCGTTGTAAACAAAGAAATCATGGTCTACTAGAACTCGTCCTTTTTCTCCCCTGTCCTTCGTTGCTTGCGACTGACCTGGTTTAGTCGTACGTCCACCACGACTGGCCTATGGTCCGAAATGAAAACCCCATCCTCATATCGCGAATTGACCACTGCAAAGGCCTTGAATTCGATACCGGTCGGGTCGTGCACGAATATGTGATCGAGATACATGTCATCCCATGGCACCGTAGTAAAGCCAGTGTAAGTATACGACGAATGTCCATATCGCTTACTCTGCGGGACGAGGCTCTTCACGTCGTTCATGGTTTTGGCGAGATGCTTGTAAGCCGCACCACTGGGGGAGGAGTTGAGGTCGCCGCCAATGAAGACAGGTATGGTCTCGCCGTCGTGTACAGACCAGTTCTCGGCGATATCAGTAATTAGTTTTGCCGAGTTAGCACGAGCCTTTTTCCCCTTGTGGTCGAAATGCGTGCACATATAGACCATGCGATTACCTGTAGCGGCATGTTGAAAGCGCGCGACGGTGACAATCCTGGGGAATGCGGCGTCCCATCCCCTGGAACCAACTTTCTCAGGTGTGTCGCTCAGCCAGTATGTTTTCTTGTCTTCAATATTCCAAACAGAAGGACGATAGAAAATTGGGGAGAATTCATCACTTTGGCCGCCCCTGCGTCCGATACCATAGTAGTCCCACTCGCTCCCCAGATCTTGTTGGATATCTTGGATTTGCGGATACAATGCTTCTTGCATGCACACGATGGATTCCGGCCTCCCAGAGGTCTCGTAGTTGATTTGGGCTGTCAAGCGTGGACGACGAACAGGCCATCGTTCCTCGCCCCATTGGGGCTTGTTTGGTGCGAGGCGAATGTTGTAAGTGACAAGCCGAACATCAGTGCTTCGAGATAGAGGCGCTGCTGCCGCAAAAGCAGCGGAGAGAACAAGAGATGCAAACTTCATTTCAGTTTATTCCGGTGTTTTGTGGGCGATAGAGAGGTAAGACCGTACGAGGGCTTTTGATCCCCAGCGGCTTTATGATCGGCTTGCTTTTGGTAGGTATGGATGTTTTGTGTGGATGCGGGTGACGCAGCTTTACAGTCGATGTTGTCACTGACAAATCTCGGCAGCGACAACCAACAAACTGTAGTCTGATGTTTATTGAGACTGATGCAGATTCCAGTTACAACATGTTGAATTGGGTCTTCGGGGGTAGCGGGACCTCTTGTAGGATACCTGCGGGAGGTTCGGGTTCACCCGCAAAGAATTCTATGACGATCACCAAGGACGAGCAGCCAGTGAAATCGATAGTGACTGTAGCCCGCTCGCAGCGTCGTACGTACGCAATGGGCCCCATGGATATTAGTGGCGTGCCTTCGTCAGGTCCAAGATAAGCTTGGTTGGTTGTAATTCTCATGGCTTGGTATTGGCTGAATCATTGGCATTCGGTTGCATCCCCCACAAGCCGACTAAGTTAGCACTATCTAACTACCCGATCGACCCTTGTATAGTTTCTTGCACGAGGCACTTTATTAGGCTGTTGTTTGACGTTTTGTTCACTGTAACTTAGGTAGGTGGGTAGTTACTGACCTGTATTCGCTGCAACTCTAGCATTATGCGCTATCACACCGTATCCTCCCAAGAGTTCCTTGTGGTGTGGTCATGCATCATTCTGTTGGTCCAGTCAACGCTAACAGATAACACACATGGGCCTCGTCATTGTTGTCTTACGGGCTCCGCACCATGCCAAGAGAATAAGCTCACAAATGATTGATAATCTTTGAGCAACGGGCATATTCTCTTGTTCAGCGCAAGCAGCGAGCATCGGAGTTAACCAGTTCCTGGCAAAAGAGCTATCCGAGAAACTCGACGGTCCAATTGCAACTCATGTTGCATTTTTCGTCCAAGTTTTTCCCCGGTTATAGACAGAATAAAGTTTACGCTATGAAGAGGGGAAATGTGTATGTATGAGTGTAGTTTCAAGCTCCATGGACGATCAAGATGGCTGGTACAAGCCTACAAGGTTATGCCAACCCCGAATTGATGATTCTTCAGTATATGCGCCAAGGGACGGGTCGCAAACAAGTAACGCACAGTTTGGCAGGGGATATGTCATGGTCGCGGCAATACAAGGTAAACTATGGGCATTGATGGCCATGCCGAGCTTCCCAAGGAAATGGCATCAGGTCACTAGACTTCAGGAACGTCGAGAACGAAGCCAAAGCTCAAAGCAATCGACAGCCCAAACAAGTGCAAGTTCTTTTGAACACGCGTCAGATCACTAAATCGGACGGAGTTAAGACTTACATACAGTCAGCACCTTCTTACCTCACCTCAGGCGACGATCCTTAGTAGGAGTGCATTGTTGGGCTGGCAAACACCCACTTACCGATGCCTCTTAATCGTACTCGGCGTATGTAGACAAAAGTTCTTGTATGGTATGGAGCATGCTCATATGCTTAAAAGCCCCATAAGGTGGCTTAAACTTTCCATGAGCTTTTGACCCCTGTTTCTGTAAAGCCTTTTGCGAGGAGGCGTCGAAGCTTTTAAGCAGGAACAATACCTTCAAACAACGTAACTTGGACGCACACTATCGCAAACAGAGTGTTGGAACATATCTTCGTTGATCCTTCTCAACGATGCAAGTTGTGGTCCTCTATGAGAGGCGTGAACTAATCTTTAACATACTCATAACCCAACTTCAGTTCGGACCCAACCAGCCTCTCGCGATATCCTCATGCAGCAAGAGCTCTTGTAAAGGCCCGACTTTCGCCACCTTCAACAACTTTAGCCACGGGCGTGAGATACGCATCTTCATGTCCACTCTCTGCCTGCAGGTGCCGCACATATGCCTGTGCAACCTTGAACCAGCTCTTCTTCTCAGCAGTGCTTGATCCGCTTCCCTGCCAGACCCAGATAGCTCTTCCACCATCATCAAGCAAGAAAACATCGTCGCTCTCTAGATCATCATGCAGTATGCGTTCGGCTTCCTTGACGAGACCGAACGACAGCTGTCCTGATGCGTCGCTGAGTCTGAATAGCTTCTTGGACGCTTTGTCAGTGGTGCGAGGAGTAAAGGGTTTCCTGCAGTGGAAGCCTTCGCGGGGTGTTTCGTCATCGCCGCCAAGAAGATCGACAATTCGTCGCGAGCGTGACTCAGTCTGCGCAATGACTTCGACTTCTGAGTGTTTAGCGACAGTCATATCGTGAACGATCTGAGCTGCCTTTGCCTTCTCCATTGGACTGCAATCCTTGCCCTGCCACACCCAGATCTTGTCGCCTACATCCAAAACAAAAACATCCTTGTCGTCTAGGCTTGTCCAAGTGGGCTCAACTTCGTGAACAACAACCCCATTGGCACCAGCAGCTGGGTTCTTAAACACACGCAGCAAGGTGAGCGTCTGCTTTGGTTCCTCTTCTTCTTCCACGTGTCTGAAACCAGACTCAACTCCGCCAGACCGGATTGAAATTCGTGGGAACAGTGCTAGAAAGTCGTCTGAAGGTGCCTCTTGAATCTCTCGGTGCTGGGTTGCCGAGCCTTGGAGGAACTCATCCAATTCGACGGTCTTGTACGCTGCGGTCCCCGCTTCATCCTGTGACGTGTGCTTTCCCAGCCAAAAGAAGATGTCGTGAACGAGCTTCTCGGTACCATCATTACTGCCAATCAGTTCCGAGAAGAGTACGATGAAGCTATCGTCATCATAGAACTGGCCGTACTTTTCCCTTGGCCAAGGAATGACCTCGAATTGCTCAATGCGCCAGATAAATAGCCCAGGCTCGACGCCAACTTTGCCGTCATTCCAAGCTGGCTCCGTAAGCGCTGAATTGTACTTGACTTGGTGGTCAATATCGGACCCGATCAGCTCCACGTTGCTATCCTTGATATCGTATTCCTTTGGATGAACGAGACCTTGATTCGGTGCCATATTTGTTATGGCTTTAGAGTGAATGGGTTGTAAGAATGTGTAGTAATACTGTAATGATAGGTCTTGTCCACAATGTTTATGAGACGTTTGCAGTTCTGAAACAAGCAAAGTCCCTCCCTTGATACTAAGGGAAAGATGTTCTCTTTACGTGAGATTGCTCCAAGCGGGGAGCATGTGCCCTGATTGGAGCTCACTTGGCATTTGATGACTGATCAATGAGGCGCTGAATACCACCTGGCGATCTTTTATTATTAGAACATGGATCAGCTACAGGCTCGACAATCTTCAATCAAGTCAAATAAACTTGGTCCTGGTGGACCATATAGATCAACCCACATTCATTAACAGTACTATTATCCAAACAAGCTGAAGGCTCCGTGATGCCGTGATCGCTCCTATGCTGTTGATCTGCCAAGTTTATCGAAGATTGTTTACTACACTTCCCACCATCACAGCCACCTCTCGGTCCCAATTCACTTCTGTCTTCGTTCTAGCCTTTGAGCCCGTCAATGCGCTGTGTAACTGGGATCCCTTGATAACAGCCTGGCGGATTGCGTCTCCAACCGTGTTCTTGTTCGTTCGTAGGGTTCTAGCTACGACACCCCCACGATTCATGATATCCTGCACACGCGTAGCGAGACTGCTGGCCATAGTCCTCCAGAAGAATGAGGCCAGACTTCCGGTCTCAAGATGGGCGAGAAGGAACTGTAGTAAGCTCAGTTGGGTAGGCTGGCCGGAGGTGGGGAGAAGAGGGTGGGCTGGCGGCTTTGTAGTCTCGAGGACAGCCTCAAGGGAGACTACATTTTGACACTTGGCCATAACATCAGCCAAGGCCTTGTCCAGCGTTGGTAGTTGGCCCAGAGAACGAGACAACGCCGTAATGCTTGCTTGGAGTGCCGATCGTATATAGGTTTCCAAAGACTGAAGCAGCAGCCTTGGAACCCATTTGTCGGGCTTAAAACCGGTGGTAGGTGATAGCAGGTAGAGTGCTGTCAGAGCAGATGCTGTCCGCGCCTTGATCTCTTCAACTTGTGCAAAGGTCGAGGTTGACTGCACAGAGAATTCACGAATGGTGCGCTCCGCCCGCTCGCGGACTGATCGATCGATAGGAGTTACGACTGTATCCTGTAGACTCTTGACGGCGTCCACACGGTTGAGTCCAAAGCCTTCTTCACCGGGAGCCTTGCGATCAAGAACTTCCCGTAGTGACAAAATTGTGTACGCACAGCGTACCAAGGCCCGATGGTCCTCCCTGCCGCTTCCGCTGTCGAGCTCCGAATGCTGAACCTCAAGCTGTCGACCAAGCTGCAAACATCGTCCAACCGAGCGACCAAGCTTCAGGGTCTCCCATAGCCGCAGAGCGACGAGTCGAACCTCGTCTGCCTCGGCATGTTTATCATTGACCTCCTTCTCAAGCTGGCGGTAGCTGTCGTTCAAGCTCTGGATCTGGCCATCCAATTCACCAACGATGTTCTTGGATGCTTGTGTCTGTTCTTGAGTATAATTGAGCAATGGGACGGCCGAGCGGGTCGTCAAAACGTCGATATGCGAGTCAATCTCTTGAGCATCGAAGAGAACACGAGATAGGGGGGTAGAGAGGTCGAGGGGTGTATCGTTAGGGTTATTGGTCGAAACAACGAGCGTATTCGCAAAGGAAGCGGGGGAGAAATCAGGGTCGAGGAAGGTCTCGTAGTCGATGTACGACGGCTCTTCGTCGGCTATGATGTCTTCTGCCATGGTGAATATAGAGGGATATGATCTCGCCGTTGGCTCGCGAGGTTACAACCGTTGACAGCTGGTGATGTTGGCGCAAGCTTAAAGTGTTCAATTGGCTCTTGGTGGGTGTTCTAGAAGCTTGCTGGCCTTTTCGGGCATCGCTCTCCCGCAGGTACGTACCTTACCCTTCACCTGACCATCCTGCATCTCAGGCACTTGAAGCAAGCTCTTTGGCTTGGCGGCTCTGGCGGAGCAGAATGGATCCATCTCATCGCCGCGGGGATTAAACGTGCCTACTAACCGTCCGTACCTATGTACGTT